TTGTTTGGGAGTGGTTTTCCTGAACTGTTGTTGCTGTATACATTTTTGTTTGGTAGGTTTTGATCTTTTTTCATGTATTGATAAAATGATTTATTTGGTTCTTTGTATTTTTGAGGTTTATTTTGACTATCTTGTTGTTTTTGTCTACATTCGGAAATACTATGTCCGTATCGTCGGCAATAATTACACCATTTTTTGAAAGATGGTTTGCCTTTAAAGTTCGGGTTCTTTTCGTAAATATTGAGTATTTCAGTGATTTTTTCAACGAGATCTGTTTCTGATTCTTGTATATTATTAATATTAGTGGGAGTCGTTGCAATTTTGTTAACGTATTGTAATTTCAGATTTTCCGTTTCTTCTAATTTCATTGTGATTTCTGCTTGTTCTAGTTTGTCTACTAGTTTTCTAAAATCTAAATCGGGTTCTCGAATTGAAGAAGGATGTGATGCTCTCTTTTTTATTGCTATTTTCCTTAATTGTGGTGTTAAGGTCATCATTAAGATTTCTGTCATCTTAGTGTTTTTATAGTCATGTGTATTTAGTGAATATGCTTTTCGAACTAGTGTTTCGATTCTTACTGCTATTTGCTTGATGGTTTCGTTTGGTAATCTGCGAATTTCATTACATAAAACTCTTTGTTGTTGTTTGTTTCTTTCGGAGTCAAACATTTTTGAAAATTCTTGTGTAAATCTTTTCCAGTTTGATTTTATTTCTTGAGGTAGTACTGAAAACCATTTTTGGGCTGCGCCATCTAAGGTTGTTTGTATCAACGCTGTGCGTCGATGTATCCAGTTTTGATGTAGTGGCGTGTTAATTGGTTCAGGTCCAATATTTAAAATTAAATTTGCTGTTACTGCATTTAAGTAATCTTCTACAGAGTATTCAGGGTCTGTTCCTGTGAAAACCATTAAGGGTTTATTTGATGTTATTGATGATCCACCCATAAGGTATGGATTCATTGTCATTTGTAATGATTCAGCTGCATTTGGCATTTGAGAAAAATTTGAAAGTTGGTTTCTTGTTATTTCATGTTGTTGAAGATAATACGGGAGTGGTATTTCATTTTGCACTTGTGATGGTTGATACGAGTGTGTAGTCATTGGATTTTGTTGTTGAATTGGTTGAAAAGATTGTATATTAATTGGATTTGGTTGTTGAATTGGTTGTTGATATTGTGCATCTGTTGATTGTGGAGAAAAATTTCTATGGTTTGTACGTGTTTTCTGTATTCCTTGTCTACGATATTCTTGAGTATTTGGTGCAAATATATCTGGTTGTAAGAAATCTTCATCTGAGGATAAATAATCCATTTGATAAGATGTTTGTTTTTTATTTTTATTTTGTTGAAAAAATGGGTAATTTTCACTGCGATCCTGTGGAGGATTTGGTTGAAAATTTGTGGAATTATATTGGGCCGTTGGGTTATCCCAGTTTCGAGGTTTTGTATATTGATTAAAATTTCTTTGTGGTTTATAATTTGTTTTTGATGGATGTGTATAATTATAATTATGGTCTGCAAAGTTGTTTCTAGTGAATGTTTTGCGTGTTTTTGATGGTATTGTCATGGGTTTGTATGTTTGGTAATCCATATGTGAATATTTAGGGGCAACCGAAGGTTTAACGGTTGATTGTAAGGTTACCTGTGTTTGTGAAGGATTTGTATTTCTTGGTGTTGTTAAATTTGGGCGTATTGGTGAAATACTTTGTTGTGTAGTTGTTGTGTGTACAATTTCTTCATTTATGAAGTGTGATGGTGTCTGTATATCTTGTTGAGTAAGATTCCTAGTTCCATTGAGGTTTTCATTGTGTATGACTGTAGAGTTTAAACTATTATTTTGTGTATCGGGTAAAAATGTATTATAGTTTAATGGTGTTGCATCAATTGTTAATGGTATTACTCTTACATAATCTCTTATGTAAGATATTGTACCTATTGCTTGACTTGAGATTGATTGTGGAAAGTTTATAAATACGGGATGAGACCATTCGGGGTCCCAAACATAATCTGATTGTTCTGTGATAGCTGTATCATCGTTCGAGTTTTGGGGTCTAAAATTTTTTCTTGCTTGTGCAATTAAATCAATATTGTGTGTAAAATAATCTATTATGAACCATGCTAAAATTTTTTGTAAATCGTGTTTGGTATGTTGTGAAACGTCGTCTTTCGTGAAATTTTCTTTAATGATGTTTAAATAACTAGAGAGTAGTGTGATTTCATGTCGTACTCTTAAATGTTTAGATGTTTCTGTCGGTGAGACATTTGTTAATGGGAGTTCATTTTCTAATATCGAAATATAACTATATATTAGTGCGAAAACTTCATTGGTGAAAATGGAGTTTGCTCTTTGTGAGTTATGGTATTGTATGCTTTTTATATATTCTGAAAAAACTTTTGAAAATTCTAAATCAAGGTCGTCTGTTTGAATAGTGTATGTTCTATTATTATGGTTTGGGGAAGTGAATTCTATAGAGTAGATTCCATATTGTTGTGTTATGTTGCATATATCTTTTAGATAGTGATCTATGATTTGTCTTTTGATTTTTACATCGGGGAACTCTGTTTTACATGGACTGATTCCGGGTTCAAATAAATTTACGAGTAAATTTTGACAAAATATGTGTTGTCCTCTATCAGTATCTGCATCTACTATAAAAGGAAAGATTTCATCATCATCTGGAGTTTCGTCACCTGGGGTGTGCGTTGAACTCATTTTTTCGTTCGATGACTGTTAATATGTAATTATTAATGTGTCGAATTGGTTGATTCCAGTTGTATAGATGTACTGGTTTGTGTTTATACTGCTTTTTTATTCTTCTTTTTCCTCTTTGTGATGAATTTGAAGTTGTTTCTGAGTCAGAAAAATATAATTGATCGTGTTGTGGGTAATTTTTATCTATTGATTCTTTTAGTTTGTAGAGTTCGTCTAAACTGTTGGTTTCTGATTCTGAAAATGCGTTTCGATTTTTTGAAAATCTTTTTCGTGTTATTTGTCTTTGTTTAGTGATTATTTTTCTCTTTAGTGTTTGTCGTTTTGTTCGAATGTATCCAACTGTTTGTGTATGAGGTGTGATTACAAGGTCGTATTTTTTGTTATCTATTTCACAATTGTGTAAAACGATTGTTTGTTTATTCCCTAGGTTTTTAAATGACATAAGGTTTAGGATGACGGGTGCAAAAGGTTGTTAAATGATTTCTATTTTCCTAAACTGTTAGTTCTTACGATTTTTTGGTTAGCTTAACCTGGGTCTATTTGTTTAGGGTTGGAGAGAAAAGTATATCGATTCCAAAGAATGATTTTTACTTTCTCGTGACTAGTATAAGCTAAGGTGTTAACTTACTTAATCTTACTTAGGGGTAGTGATTGTGTTCAAGGGTTGGAGAATAGTAAATCGATCCACAAGGTTCAGGTATAATTAGAACGCGAGTAGTTCGTTAGATACTATTTTAAACTTACTAAGTCTAAGATTTATCCTGGGTCTGGTAAGAGGGGGGATCAAGTGAAGGATGAATAACCGAAGTTCTTCACTGTTTATCCTAATTTGAATGATTAGTTTTGTTTAAAAATTTCTATTAGTCTTGGGTCTTTAGAAAGGGTTGGGTAGTGAATCGACGTTTGAGGTCGTTAGACACTAATTAAGTGGGTGGGGGAGAACAAAGTTGTTCTGTTTGATCCAAGGATAAGCCTTGATGATCAAATTTAAAATGTAATGAAGTAGAAAATGATTTAAGATCCAAGGATAAGCCTTGATGATCTGGTTTTAAAATTAAGTGACTTTAAGTTTTAATGAGGTTTTAAATTTGTGTAAAGGAAAGATTTAGTATTTTATGATATTAGTGAGTTGATGATTGCTGTTATGTTTTAGGTGATGAAGCTGGAACAACAGGATGATTTATGATTACTAACCATTTATTGTCATGCTACTAATTTTTATTTTTATTTTTCAATAAATATTTTTCAAACATGTTTTGTATAATACTGCAGAATTTTAGGAAAACGATCTTAGATCTTTTTATCAATCGTTATTGTATAATATTAATTTTGTTTAGCGCCTGAGATGATTTTGAAGATTTACTTCAAGGTTTTATGTTTGCAAATGGAAATCTAAATTCATTGCAAGTAGTATTCGAAATATAAAAGTTTGTTCTGGCTTTTGCCGAACTATCATGTAACTATACGGCAAGTTTCTACTTTGTCGTATGTCGTCTTTGGTTCGATGTCTTCTTCCAATTCCGGGTAGTTCTATTATGGTTCGGAATATTGGCTCGGATCTATTGAGTCGGAGAGACATTTCAATTAAATTATTGTCGTATAACATTTTGTAAATGTTTTTGTCTAATTTCTAATCTAATTTTGGTTAATTCTAATCTAATAAGGTCTTGTTCGAGACTTATGGTCGCACCAGATGAGTTAGGACTGGAGTGTAACTCATAGAGTAATTTCGGATAGGGTACACCGTCTGCTCGTCACGCTATCTTATTTTCGGCCGGATAGATTCGTGCAACTTCTTAGTCTAATACCGATCCTAATCTTACTCTTATACTATCTAGTCTCAGGTTGTTTAACTAGTCTCTGCTAGGCTCAATAGATCTAGGGTATACTGGTTTATTGCGGCTGCTGAAGTGCTCGGGAGAGTCCAACTAATTTCTAAGTTAAATTCAAATCTCTCTGGTGCTGAAATTACAAGTAACTTCAGCACTTACAAATAAGTGGGTTGTTAGTTAGATGGATCATGATTGGTTAATATTAAATACTTTACATTGGTAAAACATTTAATTTATCCAATCATAAAATATAGTTTAGATCAGGTTCCACGACCTCAAAAAAGCTACTGCTTTTTACCATTAAGGCTACCCATACCCCAGAATAACAATGACAAACATCAAAAACCCCGCCCCGCTGTCGTGTTAGAATTAAAACAGTGGAGGGGGGAGGGCTATAAGGGAAAAGACTTTAATAAATAAAAGTCGAGGATTCCATTTTGAAGAATTTTGCTTTCAGGTTATCAAAACACATCAACAAAACTATCCCAACTCAATCGAAGATGTTATGCTGAATTGCATGTCGGTTTGGAAGCAGGCTAAGTCAACTACTCATAATAAAGTAGATCAACTTAAAGATGCATTCAGAAGGTGTAAGCGCGAAGATTTAGTGCACATGGTCGAACAGAAGCAAGCCGAAACTCAGATACCAACCGCAAGCCTCACAGTGGAAGAACATTAGAAACCAATGCATACTTTTTGCGACGTATACATAAACATAATGATAGTTAGCTCAACTGATATTGATATATTTAAATTTGCAGTCTTTTCAACTCCCTATTTATTCTGATTACTTATTTTTGAACGCTGACATTATCCCAAATGCATTACGGGCTTAAATTTTGTTCACACTGTTTTGAATCAATCTCGTTAATTCCACTCTATATTCGCGCTATGAAGGCAATTCTAGACTGTCGCTGCCAAAATTCAAAACTTGTAGACTTTTCAGACCAAGGCTTATATAAAATCTACAATGTGGACCGTAAGAAAATATGAAACGTAATAAGTGCAATACCAAGAAATTGGGATTAACTTAAACCAAATAGTATTTTTTATCAATAAAGTCTCAAAAACTCTATTGTAAATGATTAAAATCAATTATAATGGTTTATATTACATTGAAATAAAAAGTATTGGGATTATCAACCTATTTTGATGGGGTTATAAAGATTTATTTTGTTATTTTTCTAGATACTGACTATAATGTGACTAAATAACCGACTGTGATCCATGAACGCTCGGTGTGGGTTGTTTTTTAAAAAAAATTCTTTCGAGCAGGTTTTTTAAAATGTTATCTTTTCAGAGTGTCAGAACTCACTCAATAGGAAAATTTTATGTTGAACACCATTTTATCACTAAACAACCAACTCGATTCAGTTCATGCTTTTGCAAAACTTTACAGTAAGCGAGACGGCTCATGTCAAGGCAAAGCCTTTGACGTTTCGACTGACTGCCTGTAACGTCTATGAAATAAGTTTTTTTTGGTCTGATTTTTACAAAAATTTAAAGGATACATATGCTTCTGGTTTTTTTTAATCAATCAAATTATTTTTGGCGATTGAAAAATAATTGTTAGCAAAAGTTTTTATCCAATAAGCAAATCATCTCTCTGGGTGGGAAAAAAAGATTCTTCACCTGAAGTCTTTTTGGATCATGTTAACTATTTCCCCCCTATTGCAATAGGGGGGATAGTTAACAAGGTTTGGATGAAATTTATTGAAATAACGTCAACCAATAGGAATGCGAATTGAAATAACGTCAACCAATATGAATGCGACAGAACACATTTTTGAGAAATACAAAACCAATCCAGTTGAGCGTAAATGAAATGTGTTTTAATAGGGGGGAGGGGGGATTCTTTAGAAGGTACCATAGGGGGGGGAAAACATGATCCGCCTTTTTTGACGGAAACATGATGATTCGAAATGGCCAAAATGATTTTGTTGTGGATTAATTTCTGCACTCTTTGAAAACTTTACTTTGATGACGCTCGAAATGACGCTCAAAATGACGCTTCAAAAATGCTCGAAATATATTTGAGGTCAGCTAATTGGTTGTACTTGATTCTTATGCGAGCCAAATGTTAACACTTAGCTAACTTATTCTGGCTGTATTAGAGCAAAAATTGAATAGAAATTTAATTTTTCGGTTCCACTTTTGCCAAAAGCTTTTCACTCACCCGCTATATAATGTGCAAAAAAATGTTTTTATCATCCAGTAAATTGAAAAAAAAATTCAAACTGCTTACTTCAGTTCAACTTGTTAAAATTCTGAGCAGATTAAAATCGCTTCTTACGCGTAAATATCACGAATAAAATTGCGCCGTAACTGGCACAATTTGGAGGAATTGGCAGTTTTCAAACTACAACAAGACTGCTCGTATCAGGGCGAAGCGCTGAATGTTCCGACTGCCTTTTAAGGTTTTATGGAGCAGTAATAACATTAAAAAATTATATGTATTAAAAAAAATGAAACTTTTTTTTTCTTAAATTTGAAATTTTTTATGAAAATCATCCCCTCACACGCCATATAAAGTAGAAAAGGATAGATTTTACTCCTTGTAACAAATCAATTATGGCAAATAAGCTTCTTACAAACAATTTGGAACGATTTCTAAGACGGATTAAATCTCCGCTTACGCGTTAATAGCGCGAAACATATCGCACGTTAATTGTCCCAAATTGGCCAACATGGCAATCTTTAAACCCCCATAACTTTACAAAAAATGATCACAGGTGAAATATCTTTTCAAATTTAAGCTCAGGACAACCATACCTTTCGAATGATAAAAAAAAATTCTGTCAAAAATGGCTAGTTAAAAAGTCGAAATTTGTGTGAAGAAAAAAAACCCACCCGAGCACAAATATTCCGTTACTTTCGTATCGAGAGTCGGAACAAAAAATTTTCAAGAAATAATCACAGGTGGCATATTTGAATGCAGGACGTACGTCACTTATTTTCAAAATTTCAAATTTTCTCAACAAAACTGGCTAGAGTTATTAAGTCAAAGTTAATTTTAAAGAAATAAAAAAGCCACACCGAGCACTAATATCACGTCACATCAGATTAATCTGATTTTTGTTCCAATTTTCGATACGAAAGTAACGGAATATTTGTGCTCGGGGTGGATTTTTTCAGACAAATGTCGATTTTTTAACTAGCCATTTTTGACGGAATTTTTTTTATCATTCGAAAGGTATTGTTGTCCCGAGCATAAATTTGAAAAAATACTTCATCTGTGATCATTTTCCTTTAAGTTATGGGGGTTTAAAGATTTTAAATTAACGCGCGATATATTTTGCACTATTAACGCGTAAGCGCAGATTTAATCCGTCTCATAAATCGTTCCAAATTGATTGAAACTTATTTGCCATAATTGATTTGTTACAAACAGCAAAATCTATTCTTTTGTACTTTATATGGCGTGTGGGGGGATGATTTCATTAAAAAAAGTTTCAATTTTTTTTTCATTTTGTTTTATTACATTTAATTTTTATGATACTACTGCTCCATAAACCTTAAATTGCAGTCGGAACATTCAGGGCTTCGCCCTGATACGAGCAATCTTGTCTTGTTTTTTATGTCAAGGGTTAAGGGTTTGTAAGTTTGACTGAAACCATTTATGCTCTTATTTTAACTATGAACACCTCAGAACGCGCTCGTGGGATGACCATTTTTAAAGGAAGTTAAATGTTTGGGATCTTGTTAACTACCCCCCCCCCCCCCCTATTGAAATAGGGGGAAATAATTAACAAGGTATAAAATTCGTATATGCTTAATTATTCAGTTCTTTCTTCTTTATAGGGGGGGGGGTTCTTTACAAGGTACCATAGGGGGGAGGGAATAGTTAACAAGATACAATGTTTGGAAGCTGAGTAGAAATGCGGTTTGACTGGTTGATTTTTTTAATTAACTCCTTCAATTGTTTAACAGTTGGCTCCCGGTTGCTTATATTTGCGGATTCCGCTTACAAATTTTGCGGATTCCACTTACATTTGCGGATTCCACTTACATTTTGTGGAATACACTTACAGTTGCGGAATTCAAAACAGCTAGCTATATTCGCTTGTTGCGGATTCCGCGGCACAACAAATGTGCCGACAGAATTTATGTTACAGGTATTTGTACGCGGAATCCACAGAAGTTTTGTAAGTGGAATCCACTGATTTTTTGGAACAAGTTTAAAGGTTTGTCTATGGAATCCAGGAACATGCAGACACAAAACTGTGCGCCTATCGAGTGCACAGTTTGGCCTCGTAATGATAGTCGGAGTCAATTATCTGACTTTGTTGCCGAAATTTTTCCCTCAAATCCAGAACTTATAAGTGAGTCGGATATTTTCTCGAATATTTTGGACACCAAAATTTGATTGCATTCGGCAGTGGTACCTTTCAACTTTTTGCTAGATGCTGGTTCATCATAGTCGAGAACTAAAAACTCGTCCGCGAAGCTTGGTTCCTGTTTTGGATCTAAAATTTTTACAAACAACCGTTCACCGAAAAGAGGGACGTGAAACAATATCAGAAGATTTACTTCCTGGCAAGCTATCAATTTCAGAAACTGGGAAACTCCACCTCCTGAATATTCTTTAAAAAGTCGACAATTTTTGGTTTCCCAACTACACCGAAGTTTGAGAAGACAACTGGATGTGACTTAGCTTGGAGTCCCTAAGATATGCCGGTGATATTGATATCGGACAGTCTGGTGGGCTATTTGCTTGCGTCAGACGGGTTTGGGCGGTGTCTTCTAAGTCTAACTAATGTAAGGGTTTGAGTTTACTTAGTTTGTGTCAGCGGAAGTCGCTAATGGACTGAAGACGCCTGTCAACTTAAGAAATCAGTTTATAGGCCTTTTCTAGCAATGTCTCTACAGAAAAACCAACAAATCATCCTTTCACTACCACTAAAATCCTACCTCAAATAAGGGGATATAAAAATCAGTCTTGTGTAAAGTATTCTGTAGTAGTTTTTGTAGCCGGACATTTAGAATCTGGACCGGAATCTTGGAATATTAGAAATTTTTGATCTCAACGACCAAATGAACGAATTTTTTCTTCAGGTTTTTGTCGTTTTCTTAGCAAACATTTTTTTACATAGAGTTCAAACTTTGATAAACACTAGATAAAACTATTTGGAAGGACTTGGCCCGGCTAAAATTTGAAAAATCTTTTTCAAAGGCGTAAAAAAACTAGTATATCTTAAATAGTTTTGGAGGTGCTCTTGCTGTGGAGACATCCTCGCAAACAAAATAACAAATTTTTGAATTTATGGGCTTAAACTACTTGTTGGTGAAGCTTATGAGGATGAATTACTCTTTATGTCGCCAAAAAATGACAGATAACAGAACTGGAAAAGTTACTTGACCCGGTGTCAAAAAACTGTCTTCATTTTTAACGACCAACACATTAGAAAGTTCTTGGGAGCTTACATCAGAAAGTTGGACAAAAACTAGACATAACAAAACTGCTAATGAGAAATCTGTGTATAGATTGGAGCAGGCCGCTTCTGTCAAAACCCGTAAAACTACTCTCATGTTGCCGATTAAGAGCGTACGGCATTCAAAAATGATTTTTTGTGTTTCTGATAAAAACTTACTTTGAAGAATTCGTACAATTTGTGGATTGAAACGTTAAATACTTAATACTTAAAATACTAACGCAACTACAGTTATTAGGTTTTAGTTGAGACAGGAATGATATTGATAAAAACTGAACTT